ATTATAATAATATAAATATGATATAATAATATTTAATATAACTATAATATACTGACTATAATATATACACTCATAGATATGTTGTCGCTTAAATTAAGACTTATTTATAAGTTGATATAACACGATAATTTCTATTTAAACTGAAGTATTTAACCAGATAATTAAGGTGACGGTTTTGGTAAATATATACGTTTTGCATTTTCGAGGTTTAAAGATTTAAGAAGATTTTAAAGATTTAATAAAAGGTTGAATACCTTTATAGATATATTTTAAGGTGGTTTCGAATAAGAGATTGAGAACAATTATTGTTTAATAAGCACATAGTTTTTTCCAATTATGTTATCAGGAAAGAAAGTGAATTTGACAGTTATCAAATTCAGAGCTTTGACGATTAGTCATTAGTCATCGTAATCAAATCAGAATAAAATGGTTACTATTTAATTACATTATTATTATTGAGCAAAGGTGTGTTGAAACAAAAACGTTTCACATACTCGACGGTAACGGTATAATCAAGCTAACATAAATACGGTACGGTACTGTCAATGTTCTTTGTGCTTTATATTGGCATTATTTTTAATGAATTTTTTATATATAAATAAAAGTATGTTAAATTGTAATTGTGATTTTAATACATTGTGGTGTGTTCTGTGTTAGAATAGAGTAGAATAAAACCGTTCTTTTATTGTTGCATAGCTTATATTTGTAACAATATTATTCCTGAAAAAATACGGATGAGATTTTTATTCTTACCCATTGTCAATTTTCGTACCGGTGTGCATCGGGTCCGTAAAATCCCGCGTTTATCCAATCGGTAAATTTTTTTATTTTCACACTAGCAACACTATTATACACACTATTATACACATATACACTCTCTTTGTATAGATGCCAAACAAAAACTAATCGTACGATATGCGTTAGACTTTGACAGAATGTGTATAATAGTGTTGCTAGCGTGAAAATAAAAAAATTACCGATTAGATAAGCACGGGAATTCAAAAAATTAAAATTCTCGTTCTTTTTTGATCACAAGGTATGACAGGCGTGTACCAAGTGATGAATTGTTTTGAGTGCAGTACCGTTGCGGTACGATTTTAAATCGTAAATTACATTAATAAAGTAACGTTTGTCTTATCCTTAAGATACATATTTTGGAAGTAATAAGTAGCAACATATATGGTGTAGTCTAATCTCAAAAATAGAAACTAAGTAAGAGTTATCTATTATAATATAAAAACTGTAGTTTTATAGATTCTCTATAGACTGAGCTTGTTATAATATACAATGCAATTTTTTAATACCAAATAGAAGAGTTACTCTCGTCGTTGCTGTGGTTAAAAAAAGCGACTGTTATTAAGAAATACGATGTAGGGTGTGTGAAGGTTTACATATCCGTACAATTGTGAGGATATGTTATTCTTATCAACACGAGTAACCGATAACGATTATAAATATCAAAACATATATTTTGTGTAAAAATCAACATTTTTGCAACTATTCAAATTACTTAGTGCTGACAAGTTAGTCTGCTTACAGGTCAACAGAGGTGCGTACGTTTTTTGTATTTAGCACAAATATTTTTTATATTGAGGAAGGGATAGCATAAAATAAAATATTAACAATATGGTAGTATCTTGTGTAATAGAGTTCGATAATAGTTCTTCAGACACATATTTCGCTGACCAAATTCTTAAGGGTAAAGTAATACTCAATGCAGATAAGCCGAAAAAAATCAAAGGTGCTTTAATATCTTGAAAAAGTAATGAAAATATTTAATAACATGAAATTTGCATGTATTTTAAAGCTGTGGTAGTTAAAATTGCTGGCTTTGCTAACATAAAATGGTCAGAAAAAACAAGTTCATCGAGCACGGATAGTAAAGGAAAAACGACATATATACCCAGCACATATTATACGGGACGTGAGGATTACTTAGCAAAATCAATATGTATTTTAGGTACCGATAAAGGCAAGTATGAAGTAGCATATATTAAGAACTTTAAAATTTATTGAATTTTTTCATATATACTTGTATCAGGACAATCCGAAGTCACAATAGAACCAGGTAAACATATTTACAGTTTCGATTGCCATATTCCGCCACATTGTCCCACCTCTTTTGTGGGTCGTTTTGGGCATATCAGATATGTAGTGCAAGTGATACTTACACGTTCGTGGAAATCTGATCTGGTATTCACAAAGGACTTTACCGTATTAACAATAAAAGAACTTAATTACGAACCAAATTTGCTGTTGGTAAATTTAAATCAAATGAAGTTAATAACATATATTTGATATATTTTTTTGTCTTATAAAGCAACCAGTGCACACTTCTGCACAGAAGACAGTAAGCAGTTGGCCAAATAAATCGGCACCATTGCAATTGGACTTAGATCTGTTACAGAGTGGTTTTGTGCCTGGACAGCAAATACCCATTTCGTTGTTGGTTACAAATGACAGTCATATACCTGTCGAGGAAATACATGTTACACTTTGTATGATTGTATTTTATTATAGTCAGAAACCTTTAAGGATAACGAAAAGAGAACGGATTCCGTTAAGCGCTATAAAATCTGTCGGAGTACAACGCAACTGTAAAAAATTATTCAATTATGAACTGCAAGTTCCTGCCACACCACCAAGTAACAGCTTTGGTTGTAGTATACTAGAAATTGCTTACGAAATTTTAGTACAAGCAAAACTTAAGGGTGTTCGCGTTGATCATGTCATTTGTGCACCAGTCATTATTGAGCAAGTACCACAGAAAAATGAAATACTTCAAAAATCCGTAATGACGTCTAGTGAAATGAACACTAAAATACAAGACGAGAGTCAACGTAACGAAACCTTCATAAATAGTGATGTTAACACTACGAATTCTGGTAAGTTTGAAACATGTAATACATATACAATAGTTTAGGAGAAATGTATTAAACCACATATAATGATTTAGATGTAGGATATACCAACTCGATAAAAAAATTTACTTGGAGTATTCATATTTTTTCTTTGTCTCCAGTTCTTATTCAGTTAAAGTCTTTTACTCTAATGTCACGGTAGTTGTACACACCATTGTGTCCATATATGTGTTCAACTATTCCTTACAGCTATTCCTTACAATACATACAACCCACTCTCTTGACTTAAAAATACATAATTTATATTGTTTTTTATATCATTATTCTTTTAGCACTTCCGACTTATGAAGAAGCAACTCTTCCGACTGGTGGAAAAATCTGCTTTGAAGAAAATCATTATA